CCCCCCCCCCAAGACATCTGAAGTCAAAGGGCCATTATATTGGCAGGCTGAGGGAATGGAAATATTCTTACAATAACAGTATTTACTAGCAAGTTCCGAATACTGAGATTCAATTAAATGCATTCAATAGCTTTAATTTGCAATATTCTACGGTGTATGTATACCATCTTCCTCACTGTGGAGCAAGTCTAAAGTAATCTACCAAAGCTTAATGTAAGACAATGAACGCTACAGTATTCTGTAACATGCAACTTCTTTGTAAACATTGAAACCCTTCTCCCTGTACAAAGGTCTAAAAGTAACTATATCTGAATATAACAGGAAGAAAGGACTTATTTTTTAAACAATCACCAAAAAAAACCAATACCTATTTTCCCTCTTTTTCCATTTATTCCTGGTTCTCCCTTTTGTCCTGGTATACCTGGGACTCCATCTGATCCATTGTAGCCAGGCAGTCCGTCAAGTCCAGGAGGCCCTGAGCAAACCAAACAGCATAAATGAATTTTCACTGTTAATTCCTTAGACATACAAAATCCACTAATTGGCCATTATGTTTTCCATGCCAATAGAGAAACCTCCTAAAAAAAAAAGCCACCAAAAAAGCCACACACAACAACCAAAAAAAAAAATCCACTATGAAACCAAACCTAAAGGTAAGGTGCTTGTTTGCCCCAGCCTTAGCATAAGAAAACTGACTGAAATGCATACTGCACACATTTTGCATTACAGCCAGCACAAATCGGCCTTTTGGATTCCACCTCCAGGACAAACACAGTGGAACCCATCCTATTTCTGAATTTGACAGCAACTGTAACATCTTCCACAAGCCACATGAGCTTTGATGTTGCTTATGATATTGACTGGACTAACCTAACACAAGAAAAGCATTTACCTACCTGTCCTTAATACTGCAGTGCCAAACCATGACTGGTTGATACAGAAGACATCACTCCCTCTTCATCGCCATTTGAACCCCCACAAACAAAAAGTACCTCATACTTTTCTGATACAGAGAATTACTCTAAGTAGACCCATAGCTGAAGAACCACAGAAAGCAAGTAACCCTTCCTATAGCCTAGCAACCACATGAGTGAGAGGAGAAAGAGAGAATTAAATAAGAAAGGAAGAAAAGTTATGGGGGAGGTGGGAGGGTAGAATCAGTAACCAATATTTTTTAAAGAGATGTTTTTAATGTTAAATTATAATATCAGTTAACTCGGGTTTTTTTATATATATACATTCATGTCTTCAGCTAAATGCTACTTAAACACTCTTAATTCCATCTGGTTTTGATCAAGTACGTTTTGGGAAATGTGAAACTGTTCTATTCCCTCCACTAGAAAGGCATAACGTCTAAAACCTTCCTCCTCTCAAAAGGGGCAAGAGTTGACCCAAATACAAAAATTATAAAGGCAGGCAGTCATTTAACACTCACTCATTCTAATTAGCAGAGGAAGACTATGCTATAAAAGGTACATTTCTACATTTCAACATTTTGTACCAGCAACTGTTTCAGTTACCGAAAAATGTTACTGCAATTGTTCGAGCATCTTACCTGGGGGACCTGGGGGGCCTACAACAAGAACAAGCAAAAGAACACAAAAAAGAAGAAATAGTGAGTTTAACCTAGCAAGAAAACAAAAAGCAATTCCAAATTGAATTAACATTAGATCAGAACAGTCAAAGGGAATGAAAGCCCCTCAAACGTCAAAATGAACACCTATGGATTTAACAGCTTTGTATTATAGATAACTATTTGAGCATTAGCAGAAACTCAGACTGCAAAGATACTGAAAGAATATCTTTAAAGCAATTACATACCCACATAAATTTTTCTTTTTGCAAATTTCCATTGATAAAGGTTTAACAAACAACCACCTCTACAAAGTAATCTCACTGTCAGGGGCTTCGGTGCCTTTACAAGGCCATGGATGCAAGGCATCTAACAATCATTACATTTCCTTTACATAAGTGTTCTCCAAGATCTTGTTATAGTACAAGATGAATAGCTTTACAATACTGATTGTCACAATTAAAACACCTGTTTAATATATACATTAAAAATACATGCTACGCTTCTCTGTTTCAGGGAAATTTCACTGCAGTTCAAGATTCAGACTATTTAAATAGGAAAAAGAAAATGAAAAGTCTTGCCATTCCTATTAACCATGCCTAAATCACAATCAGGATTTTCACATTCAGTTGTTCTCTAGACTGGACCAAGCTCCCCACAGAACCTGGTTGGGGTATTAGCAATTGGACTTGCTTCAGTTATTCAGCAACATGCAATACAATAAAAATCTGTCTCTCTCTCTTAGTTCAAGTATAGGGCCTTAATGAGAAGAAAACATAGCAGGCAAGAGTAAAGCAAGAGTAAACCAGAAAATGTTTCTATTAAAAGATTTCTTATGTGATCCCCAATACACATTAAAAAAAAAAAAAAAGCAGGTTAGGATAATACAAAGAAAGGTGGTAGTTGCAATCAAAGAACCAAATTAGTTCTATGAACATTTTTATCCAGCCAACAAAGCACCATCTTGTTTCAACAAAACTCTCTACAACAGAAAATAACAGTAATTACTAGATTTCCCTAAAGATGACAATTTTCAGCATTAATTAGAAACCATTATGAGTAAAGTGAAAACCATTTTATAATACCATTACAGCAATTATCCCTTTTAATCAGTACAGGCAGTAACATCAGTTAACATCTTTCTGCCAATTTTCCAGTAAATGATCATTTTTTCCATGCTACGATGTTATGTCCATTAGTGCATTCACCTTCTTTCATTCTACTTCCTCACCTCAAAAACTGAGGATCTTTATTATCCCTGTATAATAACCATAAGATAAATAAGAAACGTGCTTGAAAAGTAGCAACTGTCGCAGAGACCTATAACACAGAAAGCCAGTAATAGAGATAAAATTTAAGTGTCACGAGAGTAAAAAGGTGCAGAAGGCACCAAGTGGCATGAATTCTGAAGTCTGAAGCCCAAACAAACAAACTTTTAGTTTGTCTGTGGTTCAGCTTCAGTTGCAGTCAGAACAGATCTACAACTTCAGTAGCAGCATTTCACATTTGTGTGCACTATGGCAATTCTCATTTATGTTGAAATCAGTTGAGCCAAATGGACCTCGTAGCCATCTGAAAATAGAAACCAGACAGCAAGTGAAGTGTTTTTTTAAACTCATAAAAGAGTGCCTTATTTCTAATCATCTCATCTCCAAAAAGAACAAATGACTCAGTCTGTAACAGACTTCAAAGCTGGACCATAACCCTTAAATTGGCTACTACCTGACATTCTCTTCACCACATCACATAGAAATTTCTCATGTCTTCTCTTGTCCCAGCCATCAGCTGTTCCAACTCCTCACTGGTAACATGTGAAACTCAACATCCTGTTATCATGGGCCAAGGCAGAGGAGACAAACACACTGCTCATTCAAGTCCCACTACTCCACAGCTGTTACAACAATGGAAGCAAGCTCCTACACCCTTAATGTTCACCCCATGTTAGCCCTGAAGTGTGGGGACATACACAAAAATACCAAGACTAAACCTCTACTAGTATTTTAAACATTCAAATCCATAAGATTTGCTTATGAAAATTACATGGGAAAGAAATAGCTCCAAGTAACATCAACTGAGTATTCATAGTAAGAAGATATAGATAAGTACCAAAGTAACACCTATTATCTTTTGAAATTAATAACCCAATTGATATGTGAAATTCTGATAGAGTAAATAGCATAGATCTTTGACACAGTCATTGACCTCAAGTTCTTTGAAAACACTGTAATTCTGTATTCCTAACATAGGTAAAATTCTTAAGGCAATAAACATACCTGTTAAGCATATCCCTTTTGTGCTGTTACATAAATCCACCATCACTCGAACCTAATATTGCAAAGAAAGTAAAGTTGAAAACAATGCATATCATAAAAGTATGCAGTTTACTTTGCCCACAGAAATAATTCCAAAAACAAAGATACAACTGTCCACTCTATGCTTGTAAGAATAAACTACATAGAACTACCTTAACATTGTGACACCATTCAACTCTTCGGGCACTGATTGTCTCATAGGAATCAGTTCAATATACTCATTTTATACCTTACTGAAAATACGAAAAAAATATTGGGCAGACAACTCCATACATCATCTAGGCATTAAAGTTCACACATTACTGTAAAACATGTGTGGTTGTCTATGCGTTCATTTTATTAGTGGAAGGTATTAAAAGCCAACAAAAATTACATTCAATTTTATTTTATAGTCATATCAAATGATGGATACTGTTCAACATTACATATCCAGTGAGAAAGATGACCTATGTTCCAAGTAAGCGATTTCTTATCTTAGAATAACCAAGATCTGCAAATTTGGAATGGACCCTCATCCATTCAAAATACTTCATCCTAACAATGACAGACTTTATAAAAACCAGGCTGAGACAGACATTCATACAGATGCTTTTAATCTACAGTAGACTAAACTTTATCAATTAAAAACTCATCTTTACAAAACACATGGGTTTTGGCTAGGCAAACATTCATTTTACACATCCTCCATGCTGAGAGTTACCACTCTAAAATGTTTTGCAACTCACCCAGCAGAAATGAGAATATTATGACCATGAGCACTGGAAGTGCTTCAACTCTTTATGGGAAAGTCTGATGTTTACAGTTAGAAAAAGATTATTGTTTCAGGGCTGTGCAATATATGATAATTTACAAATATATTTACCCAGAGTTGCACACGTATTCATCTTTGTACAGTTATCTATTTGCAAATAACAGAATGCACTAGTCACAAAAGACAGAAGAAACAAGTGCAAGTCAATCTGAAAGGCAGACTGATGTTTAATCCTAGCAAGGTTGTTTGAAGCTGTCAATCTTTATTTTTAAAATTAAAGTATCATTAGCTTCAAGTGACAAATCTAACAGACACAGATAGAGGACAATTATTTTGATGGCAAGTATTTTTTTGCTGCAAAACCAAACTACATTTGACTATGTATTTCAATTCTGTCAGACACATACTGAGAATTTACTGGATTCCAGACTGTACTGGAACAGTTCTTATATTTAGAAATTTTAGACTCAATCTAAATTAGCTGAGAAGAGCAAACTGGTTTTGAATATCAGAATTTGTTTGTTCTCTTTCCCCTCACACCCCTCAAAAACACTTGGCTTCTACCCTGTAATTTGTGAAACTCACATTGCCCATGTGTGCTCTAATTCAAACTGCATTTTAATCTAAATGGTTTTGTTGAGGTTGCTGAAGTGATTACAACTTGCTTTGGTGCCCTCCAATTATCTTAGTAGCAATTATCAATCAATGCAATTCAGGTGACAATTAAAAGACATGGCACTCAAGAAGTGTGTTATAGCAAATAGCCTACAACAGAACCTCCAGCTTAACTATGGAAGATGAGTACACCAGTCATCCAATCAGCCAGCATCACCTTTGCCATAAAGAAAAGCTACAGATAACAGTATTTTATTTAAATGCTAAAAGCTTAGTTTTCTCATGAAGAAAGGGTGAAAAAAAGGAAAAAAAAAAAAGACAACCTAAACTATGAAGCAACTACTCAGATAATTAGATATCCATAAGCCACTACTTGCACTGTTTTAAATCTCTTTCAAACTTACTGCTCACAAACTTATTGCACTATCTCATCAGCCTTTCTACAGCAGCAGATTTGCCTATTTTTATTCTCTTACAAAATAAATATATTTACAAATCCATAAATAAATATACAAAAAGCACAAAACCAAAAATATATTATTAAAGTATGACTTTTGATGCCTACAGTTATTTCAGAGATTCTTGAACCACATTTCAAAGAGCGTTGGCCACAAGAGATCTCCCCCAACCGGCAGCTGGGTAGAGCAGGAGGATATTGACACCTGTAGTGCCAACCTGCAGAAACATGTGCCTTCACTTCAAGAGAGATCCTTCTCAGGCAAATTGCCATTCAGAGCCCACATTGAACAGAGGCTGGAACATCTCATCTCATCTGGGATCATCTCACCAACTGTAAGCTTTGTCACATGCTACAGAAGTATTCAGGTCTTCATATTACAGCAGTGAGAATTAGATACAAAATACAGAAATGCAGGAGTGGAAGGGGGGTGCTTGAAAATTATTCTAAGGACTTTTTTCCCCTTGAGCAAGTGGGTCTGCACACAGTTACACACTCTTCTGAGCAGCAGCCAGAATGAAAAATATTTGATGGAAATTTTGTAAGAACAAACCCACACAAACTACCCCAAGCAACTCCCTGCAGGATACATACATTTAAACGAAGCACATCACACATAGCAGTGATCACAGCAGCGACTTAAATGGAGGAGCTGCACAAGTGAACAGTCTCTCCACATGCTGTTAAAATATTCACCGTGCCACCGATCCAATAAAAAATGTTGCTACTTTGGTAAGTGAATTAGAAACTAGAATCGAATATCCAATATCTTTCCATTTTGCCTCTCAATAAAAAAAAGACATTCTTTGAATTGCAGAAGTCTTGTACTGCAAATTCTAAATTCAAAGCACACGACTTAAAATGTCCTTAGCTAATAAGTAAACAAATAAATAAATAAATTATTCTAAACTCCCAAACTACTGCATTATCAAAACTCTATGCTATGAACACCTACGCTCTACAATCTCATTAGGTCTAATATTAATGGAGGCATTATCAGTGTAAAATCATTGTTGCAACAGCTTATTAATGAAAATGCCAGCAGAACATTACTGAAAGTGTGTTTTCTGCAAGTAATTTTTTGAACCAGTAATATTAGTTACATCAGTAAGAGCCTGAGTTACACTTTTTTATGGGCCTAGGCCTGCAATCCTTACTGGGACAGAATTTCCACTCAGGTTCCCTCAATATTAATATTTTTCTTGAATTTCTTCTCAGAACTTAAAAGCTTTTCAATCTATTCAAAATTTTTCAACTATATGACCCAGTTCTTATTGAACAAGGATAATCGTTACACTGAAGTGCAAAAATCTATGCAGTTTTGTCAGAGAAAGCACATATAGCTCTCCTCTTCTGACCCATCAAATACTACCTCAAATTTAAAGCTTACTGAAAGGACACAATGAATTTCAAAGCAATGCGATGGCAAAGCAATGTCCAGTACCTCATGTTGAGATGCTGAACAGCAGAAAACACATGGGGGGGGTGTGTGTGTGTGTGTGTGTGTGTGTGTGTGTGTTTCTGTTAGTGGTGCAGAGATTTAAAAATCTGAAACCTTAGCAGCCAGAAGGCTGACTTTTTATTGCAACTAAATTTTTGAAGTTTCATTAAATCCATGCTACTTAAAAACATCTTCATTCTATTAGTCTATATGACTATCATTTTAAAAGTTCAATCATAACCTGTAATCCATATAGCCCATCAACTCAAAGACCTCAGCATTTACAGATGACAGTGGGCAGCTACAGTTTCTTAGGTACCATACTACTCAAAGCATCACGTTAGTATTTTTGCACAATATAAACTCTGCAGCAGCAACAGCTGGCCAGACCTCACCGCGCAAATTCAAACGTCAGCATCGCACGGCTAGGGGACTCATCAGGCCGAAGGTGGG